GTCGCTCCTCCTCCCTCTCGGTGTTTGCATGCGCCCCGGCTCCGCCCCTCGGCTGCCGCCCGGCCCCGCCCCACGTGACCCCGCCCCGAGTTCTGTCGGGACCGGACCTGACAGACTCCCCCCAGGTCTGCAGTCCAGAACTCCCGAAACTCACTGGCGATCCCGGGGCCATCCCAGGCGGGTGGGTGTTTTGTGCGGGTCCCCTTACACCCCCACTTCCTCCAGGGGCCTCGTCCCCATCTAGTTTTGCCGGTCCCAAACGGGAAAATCTGTTCTAATTAATCGTGTGAAGTGTCTGTCTCCCAGCCTTGGGGCCCCCCCGGAGCCTCCCCTTCCCCAAATCGCTGTGAACTTCCCCACATCCTGCCCTTCTCTGTTGTAAATACCCCTCACGGAGGAAATAGTTTTGCTAAGAAATAAAAGGGACTATTTTACTAGAGGACTTTGTTTTCCGTTATTCACCAGTCCCCTTGGGCCTGCGTGGTCCTCTCCAAGGGGCGGTGAGGGAAGCGCTGTCATCACCTGTTCCCGACTCTCTGACCAAAGAGACCCTCTGACCAGAGCTGGCTGGGAGAAAGGTGTGAAGCTGTATCTGGAAATACCTACGTGGGTAAAGGCACATGTTCCCACACATGACAAGAGTGTGACACCAGGGTTCTTTCCATATGATGGAAGGGGAGAGCTGACAACCACATGCCCACCACGGCACACTCACCCACCCACAGGATAAATAAACAAATAAATAAATGTAATAAAAACCAAAGCAAAATAGAATCTCAATCTCTGCTTTCCACTACCTTGTGCCAAAACTGAATCGTAATTCCTAGTCTTTGCCCTAGGTAAGAGTGAACTCCAACAGGGGCCAGACATTTGGTTGGGATACGGCTCAGTTGGTACGAGTACTTGCCTAGTGTGCACTTGGCCCCTAGGTCTAGCCCCATAAAGTGAGTTCATAAAGGTTCAGAAAAAAAAGAGACAGAAAAAAAAAAAAACAAGAAAAGAGCCAATTGTCTGGGACAAGCAAATTTCTAGAACTCAAAAGAAAGAAGGTACCACCCGACAGGTGTTCCTCACTGGGTATCTGGGAGGGTCCCCCCACAGCAAGTCATCCATGCTTCCTTTTATGGCTCCCTGAATTCCCAGAAACTTGGGGAGAAGGAACTGGCCTACGCACAACTTGCTTTAACTATTTCTGAAGGAACTGGCCCCCACACACCTTGCTTTTAACCACTGCTCAAATACCTCCCCAAACAAAATGAAAATGGAAATTCTCTAAGCAGACATCTCAGAAGAGAAAACCTACGACTTTCCAGCCTGTCCTTCCCTGGGTATGTGTGTAGTCACAGGCAGTGTGTGGGGCAGGACCACCAGACAGAGCAAGACACTCATGTAAACTTCAATTCCAGATAAGCAATAGACACCCCCACCGCCAGAAAAACCTCTTCATGGTGCATGGGACACACTTACTAATTTATCTGTTGGGTCTTTGGTTGTGGCTCAGCAATAGAGCATTGACCTCAAATGCAAGGGACCCAGGGGTCTGATCCCTAGTATTGCAAAATACAAAATCAACTCTTATGGTTGGACATGTGGCTCTGTTGGTCCAGTGCCTGCCCAGCATGTATGAAGCATTTCATGAAACAGAATGTGCTGTTGAACACCTGTAACCTCAGCATTTCTAGAGTAGCGGCAGGAGGCTCAGAAATGACAAGTTTATCCTCCCATCCATATTGAGTTTGAAGCCAGCCTAGACTACGTGAAATCCTGTTTTAAAATTTAAAGAAACTCCAAATGCATCGGTTGGGTCGGGGTGTTGGCACATGCTTGTAATCCCAGACTCATCCCCAAGATCCAGGTCACTCCATGTCTCCAAACACAAGACAAAACAATGGAGGGCTAAGTGCTCAGTAGGCAGAGTATCTGCTGGCATACACAAGGCCGTGGGTTTGATAATCCCAGAACATAAAGCAAAACAGCAACAAAACCTGTTGTCCAGCTGTCATTCAACTGGGCATCTTCTATTTTTAGCTTTTCTTCTTAACTACGGCAACCCAGGTCCCAGGAAGACACTAGCAGAAAGTTGCCCTTGACCTCAGGGTGGACACCAATCTGGTTCAACAAACACAAAGGCAAGCCAAGTCCAGAAACACTTGTTCCTTTTATTCCAGAAGAAAGGAAATAGAGGCAGCCGCTTGGCCCACTCTACCCGCTTGGCTGGAGTGGAGGGGGATAGGGCCAGTGTCCCGGAAAGCAGGCCCTTCCCCCAAAGGTCCCTTCCCTCCAGGTGGCAAGGTTAGAAAAACATTAACTTGGTGGTTCCTTCCCTGGCTCTGGCTGGACACTGGAGCCCAGCAGGAAGTGGGGGCAGGAGAGGGAAATCCCCTCCCAGGCAAAGAAGCTGCCCTGGCTGGCTATGGGGAGGGGTGGAGGTAGGTTTTGGGGCAGAGGGGAGAAAAGAGCCCTGGAAACCTTTTCCCTTTAACCTGACATATTTATATATTTACAGCAATAAAGGACAGGGAGGATGGAGGATGACTGGGGTTAACATTGGTTCTTCCACTTAGCACCCCCATCCAGGTCACCTTTTCCTGCTTCCTACCCCTAAAGCCTCCACAGGGAAAGGTAGAGGGTGGAGGGAGGGAATGTTTGAATGAAGGGCTGGAGCCACAGCTCCTTCCAAGGAAGGTGAGGTGGCCGAGGAAAAGCAGTCGGCTCCCACCAAGAGAAGGGGCCTGGGGGAGAGGTGGGAGAAACAGCCCCCAAGTGCTGCCTCTTGTTTCGGCTTCCCCAGTTCCACAGGGTCCCCTGGCTGGCTGACGGGGCTATGCCAGGCCCATCTCCTCCAGGACACTGCGCGGCGACTCATCCTCCTGAGACAGACAAGGGTGACGCAGAGACACCAGGAAGGGCAGACAGGGTGGGCAAGATGAAGGGATCAGAGTCAGGGGAAGCACAGACACGTGGGGGTGGGGGAGGAGAAGATGATGTGAGCCCTCAGTTGAGGGGGGCTCACAGGCCTCAGGACACCACTCCCGGCACCCACAGTGGTGAGGAGAGGTGGATGCCAAGTTCATCACCACCCAGAATCTAAAGCTCTGGACTCGGGGAGCAGGTGCACAGCTCCAGAACCCAATGGTTGGGGCAGGATGCAGAGGAGCCCTGATTTCCAGGAGGCAGATAACATGGACGCTTGGTCTGTGCCTCTTAGAGTGGTGAAGCCAGCAAGACACTGGTCCCAGACTCCTCGAGGAAGAAAAGTTTAATGACCAGGGGGCACGCATGCATCTGTGTATGTGAGGGCGTGATGTGAGCGAGCTTACCTCATTTCATTCCACCATGTCTCCCCTAGAGAGCCAACCTCCCTTATCGCCCCCATCGCTCCCCCTCCTCAGAGCCAGCTCAAGGTGGCTTGCTTGTCACTGCGGAGCCCTGGTGACTCATCTCCCTGCACCAAGGCTCAGCAGCAGTGTGGCAAAGAGGGGACAAGCAGCGATGGTAGAGGGGTGTGCCAGACAGCAGGGAGAGCTAACAGATGCCCGTTGGGCCAGTCAAGCCCCCACAGCCGTAGTGCCTGAGCAACAGCGGGGTGTGTGCATGTGTGTCTACACGTGCATGTATGTAAACATGTGTATGTGGGTACACATGTTATTAAAAGTGGGGATCAGGCATGGCTGAGGAGACTGCCCTGTCATTAATGTACTGTCACGTGAGCAGGAAGACCTGAGTTCAGGTCCCTAGCGACCACATAAAAGCCTGGCATGGGGAAGTGGGCGGGAAGGAGTAGAGGCAGGCAGATCCTGGAGCTCAGTGGCCAACCAGCGGGGCTGAATGAACTCCAGGTTCAGTGGGAAACTGTCTGAAGAAATAAAGGTAGAGAATGACTGAGGAAGAGACCCAATTTCAACCTTTGGCCTCCACACCCCCCTCACGTTACACACAGGAACACACACAGGCAGGCCAAGTAGGGATCAGGGCCCTCGGCTCCATCAGCAGAGACAGAAAATAGATATGAAATCAAGGAAGAAAAGGCTTATCTACCATGAACTGCTCTCCTGTTCTCTAAACAGCCCTGATTGTCAGGAGAATCATTAAGTCAAAGGAAATGGGGCCAGAAGAAGGCAGCCGTCTTGGGTCTTGGGAAGAGGCCAGAGCTTGGGATGAAAGAGGGAACAACTGGTGAGTGGGAGATGGCTCCCCCCACCTCCTGGTCCAGGGGCTCAGGACTTAGGACAAGTCAGACAGCAGGGCATGATGGGGGCCCACTCGTCAACGGGCAAGGTGTCCAAGGGGGGGGGAAGTCCCCTCGGCCACAGTATTCCTCCTCCTCCTCCTCTTCCTCACTGTCCCTGGCTCGTACCTCCTGTAGCAGGTCGGCCTGCTCAATGGCCTTGAGCACACTCTTCTTGGAGGTGTCCTGGACGTCCCCACCCATCAGAAACTCATCCAGGATGAAGTAGGCCTTCTCAAAGTTGAAGATGATATCCAGCTCGCACACCGGGCGGGGGGGGGGGGGAGAGGCAGAGCTGAGCATCAAGGTGTACCCCAGCCTTCTTCCTCCTGTTTTATGCCCTTGGCAGTCTCATGTAGTCCAGGC